GGGGGGGGGGGGGGGGGGGGGGGCAAAAAGCTTTGTGGATGGGAGCCAGGATGCACGGAAAGAAGAAAGGTTCAGTCAGGGTCCGATGCTGAGCAGAACTCGGCTTTCGGTCTAAAACGCTCATCTTCCGGGTGGAGGAATTTTTGGGAACAGTGGAGCAGTGCTCGATCTCACATCTCTAGGAAATATTTGGTGGCGACCTCGCGGCGAATGACGTTTCTCTGCCCCACCGCCGCGCAGTGCAGCGTATCCACTGCCTTGGGTCGTCCTCCCATGCCTGACATGTGCTGGCAGTGGAGAGCAGCAAAGTGATAGTATAGCGGCGTCCCTGAAAGCATGTGTTTGCTCGGGAAAAAAGGTTCGGCATGCCGAATGGGCGCTTGAACTAGTCGCCGTTGGCTTGTACGGAGGTTTCGGAGGAATCTCAACCGCCGCCGCTGTCGGTGTGGGGTAGCCGTGCTCGCTCGACGTTACCACCACTCCACTCCAACGCGCGGCCTTCCCCAGATCTATCTTCACCCTTGTCATCGACTGACAGCTTAGGTCGCCGCCAAGGGTCCGTTCAACCAAGGCCGCGTCAGCATCCCCTCCTTCTTCCCGCCCTTCATCCTGCCTTGTAGCGCTGCGCGTACCGTTGCTTGGTCCCCTACTGCGCATCGTCGCATCCGTATAAAGCGGCTTGACCTTCGCTCCTGGAGAGCTGGACCCGCCCCCGACACAGCAACATGAAAGCTCGACTGTCGACCGAGATGCTGAGCCCGCTCTGGGCGCAGCTCGAAAGCGCGCTCTCCTTGATCCGCCATCGACCGGTATGGTCATCGCTAGCGCTGGCCGTCCTCATCCCACTGGTGCTTGCGTTGGCCGTAGCCACGTTGATGTTCGGCACAGCCTTCTATCGCTACCTCAAGCTGGACGTGCTTCGCATCGATCCGTACTCGCACTTCCCCACACCCGGCAAGACGGATCGGTGGCGCTTTGTCACCGGCAACCTGGGCTTTATCCGCAGGCATCCTCCGTCCGAGGGGCATCTCGAGTTCGCACGCCGGCTCAAGACCAAAGTCTACACGTACCGCGGCATCTTCTACTCGCCACTCGTGTTCATCGCGGACCCGCGCGCCATGCTGCACATCTTCAGCGCCGCCAACTCGTACAACTTTGAAAAGCCGTACATCACGCGGCTGGTGCTGCGCAACTTTCTCGGCGAGGGCGTGCTCGTCGTTGAGGGCGACATCCACAAGCGCCAGAGAAAAATCATCCAGCCGGCGTTTAGCGTGGGCGCCATCCGCGAGCTCAATCCCATCTTCATGCGGTACTCGCGCGATCTGGCCGATAAGATCGGCGACATGATCGACCGCTCCGCCAGCGCCACTCCAGGCAAGAAGGGTGAGGGTGCAGACGGGATCAACTCGCCCTTTGTTGCGCAGCCACCCAAGTCGCTCGAGGTGAGCAAGCCCGGTGCACCCGTGCTGGACGTTTCGTGGTGGACCACCCGAGCGGCGCTGGATATCATCGGCGACGCTGGCTTCGGCTACCACTTTGACAGTCTCAAGATCGACGTGGATCCATCGGTGGTTGAGGAGCGTGCAGGCGACGTGTTGGGCAACGCGTTCAATACGCTCTTCAAGCTGACGCTCAGTGTGAATCTGACGCGCTTCCTGCAGCTGTATCTATCGCGCTATCCCTTGCTGCGATGGATCGAGCGCATCCCCAACGAGCGCAAGCGCATGACCCAAGACGCCTACGCCAAGCTCGAAGACGTCTCGATGCAGATCGTCGAGCGCAAGAAACGTCAGATCCGCGGCGAGATGGCTGCCGAACTCGCTGCGCGCGGCACGGCCACCAGCGGATTGACCAAGGCGGATTTCGATGAAAAGGCGGGCGATGGTGTGGGTGTGGCTCCGGGGATGGATCTGCTGCATCTCATGATGCGCGCCAACATGGCCGCTGACGTCAATACCAAGGAGAAGCTGGATGACAAGGAGTTGATCGGTCAAATCACTACGCTGCTGATCGCCGGTCATGAGACGACGTCCAACCAAACCGCTTGGACACTCTGGCTGCTTGCGGGAAAGCCGGAGCTGCAGCAAAAGTTGCGCGACGAGATCCACGAGCATTTCGGGTGGGATATGGACCATGAGATAGGGTACGACGAGTTGATGGGCATGGAGTATCTCGATGCCGTTTGCAAGGAGTCGTTCCGCGTCAAATCAGCAGTCCCTAGCACCGTGCGCGTATCCAAAGCCGATTGCGACATTCCTCTTTCTCGTCCCTACCCCACACGCGATGGCAAAGCAACAACGACTTCGATTCACATCCCCAAGGGTCGCGACATCTTTATCCCCATCCAGGCGATCAATGTGGATACCGACATCTGGGGTCCCGATGCGGCCGACTTTGTCCCCGAGCGATGGATCAACCTGCGTGATGAGGCCAAGCATAACGGTCTACCCATGCACCTCATGACGTTCATCTCCGGACCACGTGGGTGCATCGGCAACCGCTTCGCCCTCGCCGAATTCAAGGCCATGCTATGCCACCTCGTTGGCCGATTCCAGTTCGACCAGGTCGATGGCTGGCAGGTCGAGGCCAAACAAACCGCCGTCATCCGCTCGCGCGTCGTAGGCCAGGAAGACTACGGCCCGCAGATGCCCCTGCGCGTATCCCGCATCGCCTCACCAGCTCCATGACCCTGCACCATCACGGAAACAATTCAGCCATTCGCAAAAGGACTCGGCACTCGTCGCGCGCCAGATGAGAGGAAAAAAGTCGTTGGGTATTCTGAGGATTGTCAGGCAAGACTGGGAACGAGTACAGCGTGGCACTGCTACAAGAAGCAGAGCCAGTGGGAACGAGACTGTGGAAAGGAGAAAAAAACATGCAGGGGCAAGGAAGGGAGAGGGAGGCGACCGCACTGTGATCTTCATGCGGGCCGCTCTATGGTGTGCATAGGAAAGCAAGCCAGACGAGCTTACTTGGCGGCGTCAACCGCCGAGTCGACGACCGACTCGGCCTTCTGCGCAGTCGACGAGGGCGGGTTGATGATGGCCTTCTGGAGCGCCGGGAGCGACTGCTCGCGGACAAACTTGACCACGTTGAGGAAGCGGGTGGAAGCGGGGACGTCCGGGTTGCGCGCCTCCTTGCTCAGACGCTCGTACGTCTCGGTGAAGGTGTCCATGACGGGGCCGACGCGCTTGCGGCTCTCGGCAGGCAGGCTCTGCGCAAAGTGGCGCACGCGCTCGAGCTCGGCAAAGATGGCGTTCGAGATGCCCTGGGCCTTCTGGGTGGCCTGGTCGCCCTCCTGCTTGCTGCGCGACGACACAGACTCGAGCGTCTTGGCGAGGTTGGCCTGGAGGTCCTTGACGATGTCGGTGGCGCGCTGGAGGTAGGCGTTCTGGCTCTTGATCTCGTCAAACTTGGTGTGGGCCGAGTCGTAGGCGGGCACGATGTGCGACTCGTACGCCGACTTGGCGGGGGTGTAGACGCGCTCGCCGTACGCCTTTTGGAGCGCGGCGGTGTAGGCCTGGACGAAGCCACGGGCGTGGTCGGCGGGCACCTTGGCGGCGTCAAAGAGCTCCTGGGTGTTGGTGTGGAAGGGGGCGGCCCACTTGCTCTCGGCAAAGTCGAGCGACTTGAGGGCGAGCGAGTCGACGTAGGCGAGCTGGGGGTGGATGCGGTTGGTGATGGGCTGGGCGGCCTTGAGCGACGAGTTGACGAGGTTCTCGCCGTAGCCGTAGGTGGTGGCGAGGAGCGGGTGCGCCTGGATGGTAGACTGGGCAAAGCTGAGCGAGTCCGAGACCAGTGGCACCGAGACGATCTTCTTGAGGGCGGCGCTCTGGTCGAAGGCGGCCTTGCTGGGCGACGAGGTGATGCCGTTCGGCGCGGGGGCGGTAGCGGCGGACATGTCGAGATTCAAGGATGAGTGAGTGGGAATGAGAAGGGTGAGGTTGGTGTGATGGTGGGAGATGACGGAGGGAAAGGATACGGGTGATAAAGACCTAAGAGCGGGTCGGGAGGTAGGGGCGGAGATGGGGTCTTGATAAGGGATCTGTCGATGGCTCGCTCAAAGTGGCCAAGAGAATGCGAGAAGAAGGCCAGGTCGGATTGATGGCAGCCACGGCTGAGCTGCTGAGCTGCTGGCTCAGTTGTCGACTGTGGAGCTGCTTCAGGCAGCAAGGGGCGGTGGCGGCCGGGTGTGGCTGAAGCGTGGTGCTGATGCTGATGCTGCCAAGCAGGCGATAAGGCGGTGGCGGTGAGGCGACTCTAATTTTTCGAGCCCGACGGGTGCAGTGCCAGAATCCCAGCCAAGCGAGCGTCTGTTGTCGGAGGCCACCCGACTGCTGAAACTGAGCCCCCAACCGCTTTCAACACGCGCCTCGGTGGGGGTCTCCGCATTGCCAGCCACGCTAGGCTTTCAGATGCGCTCGGATCCTCCTTCTCTTCATCAACCATTCGAATTGCAACAATCACGCGCACCGCTGGGGATCCAAAAGTTCCTGGACCACAATGCCGACGGTGGCAAGTTCCGCCGCCGTGCCTGAGGATTTCGGACAGACCCGTTGAAAGTGGCCAGAGGGGTTCGAGCGAAGCGGTGGTCGAAATCCTTTGAAAGCGTCAGGGCGAACTTTGGGACAAGCCGAGGGGGGCACTTGTGCCCATGTCAAGGAAGCGCCATCTGCTGCAGGCGCGAAGGGTTGGCAGATGCACCGCCTATGCACGGATATGGCCATCGGGCTTGCGTGCTCGGCCTGCCAGGCGGCTAAGTTTTTTCGCCACAGACCCTTGAAAACGCGTCGACGAGAGCGAAAAATGACGAAGAATTCCCACCTTTTTTCATTTTCTCGGCCTGAGCTTCGCCGTGGGTCGCCTAGGAAGAAAATAAAGCTCGCAAATCGTTTCGCTGCGCTTCGCTTGCCCTCGGCAACGGCGGTGCATCGGGGAGTCTTGGGAACCACGGCAAATCTGTGACCTTTTCACACCATCTCACTGTGGCCAAGCTGATCGGCTTGTTCGGGTTTCGCTCCAAACCAAGACAGATGACACACTTGCTTGTCGTGAGAATGATCTCTTCATGGTCCCCCTCTCGACCGACTCAGCGAAGAGATTGCCACAGGAAAAGCTCAGCAGGCTGACGAGGATGAGTGGCAAGCAGGCACGGCGCATTGCAGCGTGGGAGCGAACGAAATTCCAGCTCGGCACGGCTTTGCGAAATTGACGGGATGGCAACGCACGCGTGCATGCATGCGTGGGGAGGCAACACTTCTGAACGTGAAAGCCGCTCCAACTGGAATCTGGCTGTGCTGGGGAGCTGAACCAAAAAAAATCGCCGTTGCGTCGCGTGTTGACATTTGGCAGCTCGGTCAAATTTCTCCATCCACCGACCTTGGCTGGTGGTGGCGTCGAGCCGGTCTGCAAGGGTGGACGACAGCATTTGCCGAGCGAGTGTTGCACCGCTCTCTGGCAAAGCAACGCCACTCATACACGCACAGGTCTCAAAAGCTCACAGGTACAGACTCTTGATCGGGGCTGCTAGACTCAACCTTTCCTGCCAGACAATGAGCAGCGATGTTGGCCGATGTGTTTTTCTTTCGTCGTCGCTTGGTTCGCATGCACGTGGCAGACGACGATCTCTCGCGCAGCGTAGCAACGCAGCCTCGGCGACGATCCTTACCGACCGCACAGTAGGCCGAGTTGCGGTGCGAGCCGTGATTGGCAGGAGCCACGTTTCACAACCCGGCTCAAAAAACCCCTGCGCCTGCCAAGCCCGATGCATCCATTCCGCACCCTTCGGACCCCGTCTTCTGTATACGGACCCTTTGACAGCTTCCATCTTCTGTAAGACTACCTTTTCACGCGCCCGCTGTCTCTTTTTTGTTCCTCGAGTCGCACTGTACTTTCTTCCGATCCATGCATCTCACAACCCGTCGGATTCTCAACAACATCCGAACCCGATCTCGCACACCGAGTGCATGAACGATGCTAAACTTGTGATTATGGCAAGCTACATGAGGCTGCTGCGGGCGCCGATCTGCGTGCTTGCTTCGCCATCGGGAAAGTTGCCATCCCGGTCACCGGCAAAAGTACGGTAGATGCCGCGCAATCGGCGCTGCTCTTCCGCCGGCACACTCGGACGCGTGCTCTTGATCGATGTCTCAAGATGCGCTTCCGTCACCAACGTCTTTGCTCCGCGCTTTGTACTTGCACCCTCTCCAGCCGTGTCGATACCATTGACCGCTGCCGATGCTGAGCCGAGATGAGCCGGCAGGATTCGGCCCGCCTTGGCCTTCTTCTGCTGAGCCTGCTCGGCTTGAGCCGCAGTGGTCTTGAGAACCAGCTCGAGCTTGCGTGCCAGCGCCTGCTTCTCTGCACCGCTCAGCGTCTTCTTACCGCTGCCGCCGATGCTGGTGAACTTGAGTGCGCCATCCGCACCGTCGTCCTTCTTGGGTCCATCCTGGTCCTTCTCCTGCGTGGCCGCATTGATCGACTCGTGGATCGCCTCCAGGTGCGCATTGTACAGCAGCGCCTGCAGATCCGCACCAGAGAAGCCATCGGTTCGACCAGCCCACTTTTCCAAATCGACGTCAGGGTGAAGATGCACCTTGTTGGCGATGGCGCGCATGATGTCCAGTCGGTCGTCCTTTGTCGGCATATCGCACAGCAGCGACTTGTCCAAGCGACCAGGTCTGAGCAGTGCCGAGTCGATGAGATCGGGCCGACTCGTGGCCGCCAGAACGTACACGCCATCCAGCCCCTCGGCACCATCCATCTGCGTCAGCATCTGGTTCACCACGCGGTCCGTAACGCCTGTGCTGTCGTGTCCACGCTTGGGTGCGATCGAGTCGAACTCGTCGAAGAACAGCACGCACGGCTTGGCCGCCTGCGCGCGGTCGAACAGGTCGCGCACCGACTTTTCCGACGCACCAATGTACTTGTTGAGAATCTCGGGTCCCTTGACGCTGATAAAGTTGAGCCCGCACTCTTTCGCCACCGCCGAGGCAAGCAGCGTCTTACCACAACCGGGGTAGCCGTACAGCAGCAGGCCCGAACGCAGCCGCAGCGGACACGACGCAAAGATCGCCGCGTACTTGGTGGGCCACTCGAGCGTCTCGCGCAGCACACGTCGGGTCTCTACCAGACCGCCAATGTCCGACCACGCCACCGATGACTTTTCCAGCTTGACGTCGCGGAGCGAGAGCGGTGTGAAGCCATCCTGGGCCTTGGCAAAGTCGTCCATCGTGATCGAGAGGTCCGCCACACCGCCATTGAGAGACAAAGCCTCCTGCTTGTTGGCGCCATTGACGCCTCGGGCTGCACCAGCCGATTCCACCCCTTGCACCGCAGCAGCACCCGCAGCGCGGATGGCCGACTGGTGCGTGGCGCGCTCCACCAAGTCGCGCAGATCGGCCGGGAGGTAGCCCTCGGTCTGCGTGGCGAGTGTGACGTAGTTGAGATCGCCATCGGCTGCGTCGCCTTCGACCTGCTGCACTGCGCCCGAAGCATCGTCGCGCACCTTTGCAGCCTTGCGCACCTTTTCCCTCACGAGATGCGCAAGAATGTCCCTCCTGCCTTCTTTGCCGGGCGGCTTGAGCGCCAGATTGTCGAGCCAGAGGTGGCTCGAGTTGAGCAGGCTGTGCACACTTGTGGTGCCTTGGGCGGTGGCAATGACAAACACGCCAAAGTGCTTGACACAGTCGCGCAGGCGCGCTACAAATGCCTCTGCGAGTTGCCTCGAGCGCTGCGAATCGACGTGCTCCATCTCGGCGGGGATGATGCGATCGATATTGTCGAGGATGAGCAGGCTGGGTGCCTTCCACGCAGCTTCGTTGAGCCACTCCGAAAAGCGTGCGCGCAGCACGGGCACACGTTCCTCGCTAAAGGGCGAGCAGTCGCGGTACGACGTCGAGAGACAGAGGCGGTAGTCGTGCGAGAGTTGGGCCGCGAGCTGCTTGGCAATGACCGACTTGCCCGCGCCCGGCCCACCGGTGAGGAAGAGCGCGCTGGCACCTTGGAACGGCTTTGCCGCACGCGATGAGGAGGAAGCTTCGAGGGTTCGCGCGCGGAAGCAGGCGGCGACAGCATCTGTGGCATCGCGGAGGATATGCTCGACACCTGCGAGGCTCGATCCGGTCGCATCTGGTTTCGCAGCATCTGTGGATTCAGTTGCTGCGTTTGCTGGCGTCGCAGCTTTGGAAGAGCCGCCGAAACCAGGCGGCGGTGGGCTGAAGCGAACGAGATCGTAGTCTTGGATGCCGAGCTGTTCGCGCAGGCCTGCGCCAATGAGCACGTGGCGCTCGGGCCAGGCGACGTTAGCGTGAGTGCGAATGCCTGGCAGCTGATCGGCATCGACGAAGCGTGCAGAGGCAGTCGGACGCACTGGAAGCGCCGACGAGGGGTCTGCACCGTCTCTGCGAGCGTCGGCCGAATCGGAATCGGCGGCTGTGGAGGAGGCGCCTTTGTCACGCTGCATTTCGGATGCGCTGTTGTTGGTGGGGCAGGAGACCTTGGTGACCGAGAAGCGGTCGTCTGGGAAGACCTGCTTGAATTGCGTGTAGCCCGTTGACGAGGAGGAGGGCACCGCTACACTGGAAGTCAAGCTGGAGAGTTCAAGACCTTGAGCGAAGCGTTGTGGGAGGACACGCCAGAGAAGCTTGGGCAGCGTCTGTCGAAGCGTGTGGGTCTCGTCCTCGGTGCCGACACCGTTAGGCGCCGCCTTGGATGTAGGCTGCAGCGAATGTTCCTCCTGCATGGCGGGATCGACTGATTTCTTGCGCAACCTGGGAGCGATGATGACCTCGGTGTCGGTGGAAAGACGCACTGCGAGCGCGGAGGGAGCGTCGGCATCGTCGGTGTCGGCTTCGGCTGCATCTGCGCTTGCGGTGGGAGGCGTGGTTGCATCGACGCGGAAGCGGACGACGGTGTTGCCGCCGCGGCCGACATGGACAGTGATGAGCTGATGGGTGGTGGCGGCGCGCACCTGACCGAGCATGTTCATCTCGACCTCTTCGGCGTGAAGGCTCAGGATCTCCCAGTCGTCTGCCGAGAGCGGCGTGACGTCGATCTTGGTTGCAGTGGGGAGCGGTGGCGAGCGTAATAGGCGAACGGAGCACGTGGCACCGTCTGGCAAGGGAGGGTGGAAGGAAGCGGCAAGGGAGGGCGAGATGTTGAGGACGTCGGCGGCCGAGGGCTTTGTGGAGGATGCGGCAGAGGAGCCGGCAAAGGAGCCGTTGGGCTGAGCGAGGGAGTTGCCGACGGAGAGCGGAGCTGCGCTCATACCGGACCAGCCCGTAAAGTAGGGCGAAGCGGTGGGAATGGTGGGCGACGCATCGATCTCGACGACGAGCGACTGAGGGGGCACGGCAAGGTCGACCAGGGGAGCGTAGAGGCACATGGGCAGGTGGACGAGCGACGACTTGAGCGTGGCATCGTACTGGATCCTGACGACGGTCGACTTGGCCGAACGCCCTTTGGCCTTGGAGGAGCGCGACATGCTGGCACAAACGGCCAGACTGGCTTGCGGAAGACGATGAGGAGCCGAGCTAGCAGAGATGCTACGACGATTGCCGGGTGCAAGTGGCTTTGAACGGAAGAGGAGAGGGTAGACACGATGGTGGAGGTGAGGGAGGAGGACTGAGCGCCATCAGAAGATCGACGCACGGGGTCCAGAGCAGCAGCGCGGGCCAATCGGCTACCGAACGCGGTTGAACCCGCCCGAATCCCCCACACTCGCACT